GAGACCTTGAGAACAGAGGTTTAAGTCCACAGAATGAGGCAGAAATGTCCAAAAGACTCCATCTTTAATTAAACAGCAAAAAGGAGGACTTGGAGGTGTAACTTCGGAGGTAGAGACAAGTCATGAGTGATAAAGCAGAGAAAGTATGAAGCCCTGATTTCAAACCAGCTACCAGGTACTGCTGTACATCACAATACCAAAAACACCTAGGGACTTTGACAAGATTGAGAAGCCCCCTTTTGAAGTATACTGGTATGGAAATATACTTCTGAGAGGAAAATGAAGAGGAATGCACATTAGCAGCTATGCAGGTTGTGCCAGCTGACTTGCTAAATTCTGCTGCTTCCTGTACCTTAAAAGGTGGAATTCTCCTTCAGCTCCCTTGGTTCACAAGGAATTTCTTCCTCCCTGGACCCCAGGTCCGGGCCAGTCTATGATCAAAGGTCATAGCTCATCTCATGTAAGGTATCTCTGAGAAGAGGAAACTTAGCCTCCCCTTTTCGTGAATTTGGTTCCATCAAATATTTGGAAAATTGATCCTGGGCTTGTATTTAACCTACAAAGACTTCTTTTCTCTTTTGCTTTCCCACTACACTTTTCTGTCTTGTTATCATTCATTTTTAAATACAAGTCTACTTACTAAGTTCTTAAATCAACATTGTATAAAAGGTAAGAAGTTCCATTCCCCTTTCTTTTCTCCTGGTTTTGGAAGGTTTCATTTTTGCATTCCCATATCTGACCTCTGCTACGAGTACATGCATTGGTTTCTGATTCATCCTCTCACTGGTTCTTTTTGCAAATTTAAGCACATATACAATTATTCTTTAAGTTTCTGTGATGTTGGCACAGTGTTTCATTCTCATTTTAGTGTGTGTTGGCACTGGGTTTTGAACTCAGAGCCTTGAGCTGATACTTGTCACGTTTATTCAAGGCTGCCTTTCTACCCCTTCAACCACACCTCCTCTTTGAACTTCTTTCTGGTTAAATGGAAATGAGGCTCTCTCAGTCTTTGCTGGAAAGGCTGCCTTCTATGTTCCAACCTCAGATTTCAGCCTCCTGTATAGGTAAAATTATTGTTGTGACCAACAGTTTTCAACCTCACGCTTGGAGATGGAACCTAACAGCCCTACTTGCTCACTCACTATGCAGAGAATGATTTGAGTGTCTTTTGTGAACTTCATGCGTATATTAGTGGTATTGTTTCCATTTTTGATCTGTTCATTCATCGTCAATTCTTTGTGTATTTGACATCTGTAGGTGTTGTAACTTCCTGACTTACATATATACTCCAAAGAGTTTTTGATACCTTGCTCCCTCTGCAGTGGTCGTAGAGTGTGCATACGGGTTACTCAATCTCACACATACTTGTAGGCTCTGGGAAGGCTGTTTTTTGATGGAAATATAGCAGAGGGTTCTCTTCTCTTCTCCCCAGCTCCTTGCACAAAGTCAACATTCAACTAGACTGAGAAGATTCCACAGCTGCAGGCTGAACCACATTCACGGGAGAGGAACTTTCAGAGGAATAAAAGGTGAGTGCCGGTTTCCATCTTCTCTCTGGAAATGCCCTCTTGCTCTCTTGCTCAGCCTTTCCTTTGTATTTATTATGTCTAGAAGCCAAAGCACCTGGGCTTCAGGATAAACATAATTTTCAGTTTTTTTTATCTTACTGTAACACTCATTGTTATTGTCACCTTTATAGAGGAGGATTCAAAGTCAGATTGTGGACTATGAAGGTCTCAGGCTTCTCCAGCATAGGAGATCATCACCCCCTGTCTCAGTCCCCATTGGTGTCTTACTGGACTTTGATGCCAAAACTCTAGATAATGATCAAGGGCCTCTCCTTGAGGCCTCATGGAAGTGGATAATGGGGGCAAGATTCATTCTGGCTCTACAACATCCTAGGCAAATTTATCCTAAGACATGTTGATTTCATTCTTTAATAGACTCCACAGTGCCCTATATCAAATATGTGAGCCTGAACAAAGGAGGTGATTGACGTAAGTTTCTGCCTCTTTTTCATGGGATACAAACTCAAACAAGGGAAATAACAAAATGCTGAAGTAGGGTTACAGGATGTACCAATGTAACAATGAGAAATAAGACACTATGTTGAAAACAAACTTTACAACTTTAGGAGTGGGGAGGGAGAAGTTGTGGAGGGACGGGATGGTAGAGAAAAATCAAAGGAGGAGGTAACAATGCTCAATAGGAAATGTACTCATTACCTTACTCATATAACAGTAACTCCTCTGTACAGTATTTTTACAATATGACCCAGCAATCCCACTTTTGGGAATTTACCCAAATGATCATAAACAAGACTATACTAAAGCCACCAGCACAACTATGTTTATTGCAGCATTATTTACCATAGCTAAGATATGGAACCAACCCAGAGGCCCCTCAGCAGATGAATGGATCAAGAAAATGTGGTATATATACAATGGAATTCTATGCCTCCATCAGAAAGAACGACATTGCCCCATTTGTTAGGAAATGGAAAGACTTGAAAAAAGTTATATTAAGTGAAGTAAGCCAAGCCCAAAGAAACATAGGTCCCATGGTTTCCCTTATTTGCAATAACTAGTATATGTCTGAGACAAGCAGAAAAGGTCAGTGAAGTTGATGTTAGGTGAAATGAACCCCAAGATAAGTATTCAAATGTTTTTTTCTTTCATGCGATAGTTTCTAACATATTTATAGGATGATTTCTTTGTTGCTTTGTATGTCCCTCCCCCACGGTATAACCCGTTTTCACTGTATTTGATGTTGGTATAATTTGTGGAGGGGAAGGGAAAAAACAAATTGTTAAAATAGGGATACAGATGGACCCATTGCAACATTGAGATGTACAAGTCGTTATGTCGAAAAAGGAACTTTACTGCTTGGGTTGGAGGGGTGGGGGTTGGAGATAGGAAGGGATGGGAAGGGGAAACAAAGGAAGAGGCAACAATGCTTGATAATATACTCATTATCTTGCTTGTGTAATTGTAACCCCTCTATACAGTATTTTCCCAATAAAATAATAATTATTAAAAAAAAGAGTCTCATGGACTTTCCTGCCCAGGCTGGCTTTGAACAATGATCCTCAGATCTCAGCCTCCTGAGTAGCTAGGATTACAGGCGTGAGCCACCAGTGCCTGGGTAATATATTGTTCTTTACCCTTTTAAGTATTTGTACTTTTACATCATTTCTTGTCGACATATATACATCTATTTTTAAAGATATATTTTGCAGAATGACAACATGTGTTATGTTACATGGCATCTGTCTAGCAGGTGCTAAAGAGAGGAAATATTTTGTGAATATCTTCTCATTCATTTATTTTGACTGTTTAACCTGAACCTTATTATTGTGCTTAGGTATAACTTTTTGTGGAGTGAGGTTTGAATCCAGACCTTCACTCTTGCTTGGCTGTTTCTATACCACTTTAACCACTCTTAACTGCTAAGCTTTTGCTGGTTACTTGGAAATTGAGTCTAGAGCACTTTTCTTCCTGTGCTTGCCTCAAACTGAGAGCCATCAGGTCTCAGCCTCCTGAGTAGCTAAAATTACAGATGTGAGCACCTGGGAAATTCTAACATTTTCTTATATTTTGTTTTCTGTCTGTTTTTCTGTTTCTCTTTCCTGTTTTCCTTTCTTACATTACTGTGAGGTGTTTTAATATTTTGATTTAATTAGTGTTTTGAATACACTTTTTATATTTTCAATAGACACTTTAGATATTAAAATACCTGAATAATTAATCATAGTTTACAGTTGTTAATACTTTTTATGTCTGCCATAGTACTGAAACACAGACTAGTCGCTGTTCTGAGCTTCTTTTGCTCAAGGCTCACACTCTGCCACTTGCACCACAGCTCCACTTCCAGTTTTTCATGGTTATTGATAATGAATGTCACAGACCTCCGCCATTTGAATAGCTAGGATTAAAGACATGTGTTACCAGCATCCAGCTTTGTTATCAAAATTGTTGATTGCTACTAAATGGAGAGAACTTATTTTCAGCTAGGTAGGTTTTTATCCTCCTATTTGAGAATGTGTTTTGTTTTGGTGGTATTGAGATTTGAACTCCAAGCTTTGTGTTTAGTAGGGATTATTCTATCCCATCATCCACATATCCAGCTCTTAGAATATAAATTTCTCATGTATTTTTGTATAGATGGAACCCATTATCAGGTCATATTATGTCATCAGTTCAGCATGATTTAAAATTGTACAAGGAAAGGCGTGTGTATTATAGCCACCCTGATTTATACATATTTCTTAGTTTTTCTTTCTAAAGTTCTAAGCCTCTTTCTAATACTGCTTTCTTTTTGTATGGAGAACTTCCTTTAGCTGGATATTACTGACACAACTTTAGTTAATTTTTTCTGAGAATGCCTTTATTTCCCACTTTTCTTTTCTTTTCTTTTTGTGAAAATACCATAGAGAGGGGTTACAATTACATGGGCAAGATAGTGAGTACATTTCTTATCAAGCATTGTTGCCTCCTCCTTTGTTTCCCCATACCATCCCTTCCCCTCTCCACCCCCCACCCTCCACCCTGCCTATTTTCCCTGAGCCTGGAATTCAGAGCTGACAGTTCTTTACTTTCACCATTTGAACAATGTACCCCTACCTTCTAGACTTTTCTGGATTCAGAGAAGAAATGTGATAGCATTTAAATCATTGCCCCTCTGTAGGTAATATGAGCATTCCTCTCTAGCTGCTTTGAGGTGTTTTTTTTTTTCCTTTTAATTTTCATATGTTGCTTATGGTATGTCTCATTAGGGATATTTTGGGGAGTTGCCTGTCTGGTTTTGTGGTTGTGATTCCAAGGACAATTTAGATTTAGCATCCTGGCAGTGTGTCTCTGGTTTGCTTCGGTTGTCTCTTACTCAGAAGCCAGGGCGAAGCTGAGGAAAATTCCACATGGATGTATGGCTTTTAGGTCTGTATGCATGGTGATTTGGGGAGTTTCACAATGAGTCTGACTGATGTTTTTTTTTTCCCTAGGACTAACCATAGAAATTTAACAGAAAACCCCTCGGTGGTGTCTGGAGCTTGAGGCTTGAGAGCCAGAGTTGCTACAGAATTGTGACCTGGAGCATCTGAGGTTAATAATAGCTATTCACATCCACAATTAAAAATGGCCTCCAAGGAAACTAGAATACCCAAAAGAAAGAAAAAAAACAGAAAACCTGAAAATGTTGAAGAAGAAGAGCTTGAAGAATTTGAAGTGGAGAAAGTAGTGGGCAAACGTATAGTAGCTGGCAAGGTAGAATATCTCCTGAAATGGAAGGGATATTCAGATGATGATAACACCTGGGAGTCAGAAGAGCATTTAAATTGTCCAGACTTAATCGAGGCTTTTCTGAATTCTCAAGAAGCTACTAGTGAATCTGAAGGTAGCGTAACAACAGACAATAGCGAAGCTAGTGATAATCCAACGGGGTTTGCTAGTGGTCTAGAGCCTGAACGAATAATTGGTGCCACAAGAAGTAGTGAAGGATTGATGTTCCTCATGAAGTGGAAAGATTCGGATAAAGCTGATTTGGTGTTGGCAAAAGAGGCTAATGTTAAATGTCCTCAAATTGTAATTGAATTTTATGAACAGAGAATAGTTTGGGATCCTTCATCGGAAGGATAACTACATATATATGTGTATATATGTATATGTTTACACATATATATAAAATATAAACAAACTGTGAGTCTTGGTTCTTGTGTTAATGGTTTGAAACAATAACTACAATCTACTAAAATCAAATTTGATATGTTGGTTTTGAAAATAGTGTTAGTGACAGTTGAGATTTTTTGCATCAATTGTACTTGTTACTTTGAAGAAGTATAATAAAGACTTTCTGTAGTTGCTTCCTCTCGTTGGTGTATTTTATTCCTCTGCATTCAAAAACAGCAATTTTTTAATTCTAGACAAACTTTTTCATTAACTTCAGTATTCAATGTCCACTCTGAATTTGTGTGTGTGTGTGTGTGTGCGTGTGTGTGTGCGCACACACACATATATGAAAGATTCTTACACTGAAGTTTATATTTTGGGAGATTTTGCTTGTTTACAAGTGTTGGGCTCCAAACCCAGGGTCTTGCATATGACAGGTAAAGTATATTACCAACAAATGATATATCAACGAGTGACATCCCTGCCTCCCCTCCTTTTTGAGACAGGGTCATTGAGAAGCTCAGGCTGGTCTTACTCTTGCTAGATAGCCACACTTGCCTCATATTTTAGGTACTCTGGAATTGGCCATAAATATGTAAATGTAATAGGTTGTTTGCAGCTTTTCCTGAAAGGAATATTTATTACCATCAAGAAAATCCTAACTAGATAAGATTAAGACAAATCTCCTTTCCATTAATTGGCTAAGCAAAACTAAGTGGACATTGAAAATTTTGTCTAGTGAGCCATTTCTTTACAAAATATTGGAATCTGTTTAGTGAAAGCTCTTAAATTTGGAGATATCTTAGACTCAGCTAATGGAAATATAGTCAACTGCTTACAGATTTTGAACTGTACAACTTCCTGGTATAAACGAATGAACAAAATTTCATAATTATTGACTTGTATACTTTTCTCATTAAATAAATTCATTTCTTACATACAGGTTCAATCTTCTCAATATTGGGTTAGTGGTTCCACAAAGAGCAAAAAATCAACTTTTTATTAAGCAGAACGCTACCTCACTTTATTTTTATGTAGCTGTAAATAATGGAGAACAGTGGTCAATAATATTTTTATATTTTTAAAGAAAATTTAGGTGCTGGTTGCCAGTGGCTCACACCTGACATTGTAGCTACTCAAAAAATTAAGTTCTGGGTAGAGTGCTTGCCTTGCATGCATGAGGCCCTGGGTTCGATTCCTCAGCACCACATAAGTAGAAAAAGCTGGAAGAGGCACTGTGGTTCGAGTGGTAGAAGGCTAGCCTTGAGCTGAAGAGCTGAGGGACAGCATCCAGCCCAGAGTTCAGCCCCCATGACTGACCAAAAAAAAATTAAGTTCTGAGGATTGAGTTTGGAGGCTAGCCTTATTAGGAAAGTCCCTGAAACCCTCATCTACAATTAACTTCAAAAAAAAAAAAAAGTGTAGCTGTGGATCAGGTTGTAGAGAACTAGCCTTTAGAAAAGCAAACACAGTGGCAACATCCAAGCCTTGAGTTCCAGCCTCAGGACACTGACACTCTCTCTCCTGTCCTCCCTCCCTCCCTCCCTCCCTCGCTCCCTCCCTCCCTCTCTCTCTTCCTCTCTCTGTCTCTCTCTCTCTTTGTGTCACACACATACACAACACACGCATACACACACAGAGTAAATTAGAATTCTCTTTCTCCATGCTCTGAGCTCTGCTTTCTGATATTCTTTCCCTCTGCATGGAAGTTTGAATGACACAAGTAGCCCCTGGCAGACTGTGTGAAAATCCTAGTGTTGCTGGGCTCCGGTGGCTCATGCCTGTAATCCTAGCTACTCAGGAGCCTGAGACCTGAGGATCACGGTTCAAAGCCAGCCCTGGCAGGAAAGTCCGTGAGACTCTTATCTCCAATAAACCAATAGAAAACCAGAAGTGGCACTGTGGCTCAAGCAGTAGAGCTCTCGCCTTGAGCTGAAGAGTGCAGGGACAGCACCCAAGCCCAGAGTTCAAGCCCTGCAACCAACCAAAAAAAAAAAAATCCTAGTGTTTACTGTGATTCCTGGCATGGTAACAGAGAAAGGAGGAGGAAATACCTGTGTGTATCTTTTCCATGTTTATTTTGTTCAAGAGCACAAAGAATCTACCCTCTCCCTACCAGCTAAATGTTGACAACAATGTGGAGGAGGAATTTGACTCCTTGCTATATACCTGAAGACTCTGGTATGGAGTCTGATCCTTACTTGGTATGGTAAAAGTACCTTCAGCATGTGGCTATGAAAAAAATTAGAACTATGTGGGTGCACTGGTTGGGAGAAGAGTTAAAATGCAAACTCTGGATACCTGTTGGTGTCACTGTGAAGTCATGTGATCAGAGGAACTGGGGCCACCTCAGAAATGCACTGATGCCAGTACTTGGGGCAGAAGACACCTTCCCATGGTGCTTGGTGCAATTGAGGCTCCAGCCTATTCTTGGTTGATGATCCCAGACAACAGAAGAGGAAAGTATGGCCCCAGGCTGCATGGTACCATTGGCTGTGGCAACAGAAGCAAGGTGACTGCTCCCTGACAGGAGGAACAATGTCCCATTAGTGGGCTCTGCACCCAGAATAGACAAAGTCTGTAGTTATTCTGTGGTTAACCAAGTAGCATTAGGGCCTGTTTGGTTAAAATGGTGTTTCTAATGGCTGTGGTAGCCCATTCCTATTTTGCTAGCTAATGTGAAAGCAAAAGTGTATTGGGTTGGTCTAGGCTTGGGACAAGCCCAGGCAAAAAGATTTCCTGCCCACAGTCTCAACAACAACAAAGAAACAATATCTGCTCAGAGTGGAGTCATGGCGAAAGTGATGGAATGCCTCCTGAAAGTAAAAAACAAAACAAAACAAAACAAAAAAACAAGAGGAGGGGAATGGCTTAATTCAAGTCCCATGACCACTTTATACACACTGGCATGCACACAAGCAAGCAGGCACAGACAGTCATTCATTGTGATGCTTATCACTCAATGGGAAACATAAGGCAACTGAAGGAATACTGGAAGACTTTATTCAAAGTATAAGTAAAACAAAAAGGCCTTGGGATACAGCTCCAGTGGTAGTGTGCCAGCATATGAATTCAATCGACAGCAGTCCTTTCTGCTACCCCCAACACAACCCCCAAAGACAAACCCTCTGATTTCCCTCTGTTCACCTGCCCATGATTGGTCTCTTACTCTAATTGCGAAGCTGAGGGGAATGAGCTAATGCTGGCATACTATAAAATATAGCTTTTAAAGCATTCTTCATGTGCAGGGAAATATGGATAGAAGCCTAACAGCCACCTGCATCATCTGCAGAGGATGGTGGTTCTAACAACTCATGAGCTTGTGCTAGCATCCTGTGGCAGAAAAAAATTGACTCCTGGTCAATGGATCCACTGTCATAGTTCACAGGTCTGATCCTTGTTTGATCTGATAATTTTTATCTCAGGCAAGAGTATAGGAAATGAAAAGTATTTGCTTAGGAACAGATTTAAAGTGATGAATCTATGTGACTCTGCCGTGGAGTTGGGTGGGGGATAGGGTAGGCAGTGATCAACTCTGGTTATGCACTGATGATAGTAATTGTTATAGTATACCTCTGTACTCTGTTTCAGCCTTCCTCTTAGATGATGCCAAAAACCAGTGGAGGAAGAATATCTTTCCCCAGGTTGCTTTGTATAACTGGGATTCCCTACTCAATCTCAGCTAGTGATTCGTAAAAGAGACAAGGGATTCCCCACTGCAGCTTTCCCACTGGCTGCAAGTAGAAAAGGTGCTGAAAGTGTTGAGGCTCTATTTAGTTTGTCAAGACATATTGCCACTGTTATTTGTTAGGGCCTATGTCATCAAAATGCAGTTTCTGCTAAGTATTGCTGCTAGTTTCCATTAGCCTAGTTATTCATGGAACAAAACCAGAGATTCATAGTTTGAGAACAGCCCAGGAAAAGGTTTGAATTGGCCTCAATCTCAACAATAAAGCACGTGTCTGAACTGGAGGCTTATTCCAGGTGATACATCAGACCCTTCAACACAAGAATGCAGGGTGAAAAAAGAAAGAAAAGGAAGCAAGGAGAAATTGAGTCAATCCCTAATTTCAAATCACATAATTACCCCTCCCCCACAAACCTGTGAACACAAACACACAATTCACACACACAAGTTGTCAGTGTGAGGCTGCACAGTGTGCTGGATTGGAAGCACAAGTTTGTCTAGGAAAATTTATTCAGCATATAATTAAAACTATTAAGGTCTGTACTGTAGTTCCAGTGGGACAATATTAGTTTAGGATGTGATCTGCCACCCACATGGTCTGAAGATGCCTGCTTGGAATGCTAGAGGTTGGAACTGCACATGAGCTTTGAGTTGGCAGCAAGACTGAAGAGGAAATGACCTCCTATCTCTTTGCCAGAGACCAGTTTCAATCCTTGGTGGTGCCACCAGGTGGAGAGGAAGGGGTGACAAATGCATGTTTGGGAATAAGATGCAAGTTCCAACTCTGTCTACAGGCTTCTGCTGTGTGGTTCAGGGTCAGGCAGTCTGGATTCTTCTCTGGTTCTCTAAGGGTGCCAGAGGTTATAAGTATGTATCCCCTTCTTACCTGGTACTTTTGGGGCTCCCACTCCCCTTTGGATGATGCCGCCAGCCATTGAGGGAGGAAAGTATGAGTATAAGCCACTTGTTGCCAAAGGGCCTTCCAGCTGAATGTCAGCAAATGCAGCCTGAGGGAGAAGATGCAGCTGATCCACCCAGCTCCAGCCACCAAATAGGGACGGAAGCTGTAGCCAGACTTAATTTGTGGTGTCAGAGTGGCTGTTATTAAAGCAGTGATTCTGGTTACTGTGATGACCATTACTTTTCCTACTTTTCCTAGCTATAGGTGTGTGATGGGCCTTTGTGTATGTGTGTGTGACTGTGACTGTGACTGTGTGTGTGTGTGTGTGTGTGTATGGTTATGCAAGGCCACGCAAATATATGGTCAGGATACAATCTTACA